ATCTACAGTGACTACCATCGACTGTGTGTGGGTACTGACATCCACAGTGACTAGCATCAACTGTCTGTGAGTACCGACATCCACAGTGACTAACATCGGCTATCTGTGGGTACCGACATCCACAGTGAATAACATCGACTGTTTGTGGGTACCGACATCCACAGTGAATAACATCGGCTGTGTGTGGGCACCGACATCTACAGTGACTAACATCGACTGTGTGTGGGTACCGACATCTACAGTGACTACCATCGACTGTGTGTGGGTACTGACATCCACAGTGACTAGCATGAACTGTCTGTGGGTACCGACATCCACAGTGACTAACATCGGCTATCTGTGGGTACCGACATCCACAGTGAATAACATCGACTGTGTGTGGGTACCGACATCCACAGTGACTAACATCGGCTGTTTGTGGGTACCGACATCCACAGTGAATAACATCGGCTGTCTGCGGGTACCGACATCCACAGTAACATCGGCTGTCTGTGGGTACCGACATCCACAGTGAATAACATCGACTGTCTTGCGAACACTATATACAGCTACATGAAGGGATGTTCGGTAGGTTCGGTCATTCAATGAAATAAGAAGGCATTGAAGAAAATTGGTATGACTGGAAAGATTTACTGTAAAAGAGGCAAAGGCAGACCAAGTAAGACGAACCTGAACAGTCTTCAGCAATGGAATGGTGGAATATCATTTGTGAAATACATTCAGCATTTGATTCAGAATACCAAAGACTCAGATGCGTGGAGAGACATGAGCGCCATCCCTGCCTGGCAGGACAGCAAATGATGATTTTTAATAAATCTCTCATATTTTTTTTATACGGAAACTGTCACATCTTCTGTATTAGACAATTCTCACATCATCTGTGTGGGATAACACATATCTTCTATTTAAGACAGCACTCACGTGGTCTATATATAAACCATATCTGGCATCCTTTTTTGGGAAGTTTATCTATCTATACAAAATACAAAATAAAAACGCCCACATTTCTTTAGTAGACCAGGTAACACTACACATTCTGAGACGTTTGTCAAGTTTTTAGAAAATCAAAGCAATGTGTCCCCGCTAGGAATTTGAACAAAGAAGACACAAACAATAGATTGCACCATTTATTGCCTGGCTTACATGTCATGTGCATCTTACAGTAACAATCCATTACAATGAAGCAAATAAATGAATCCGTCCAACTGAAACACAAAATCGACTACATTCAAAAGTCTGCATAAGTCTGGACTGAACCTGAGTTTATAGCAGTTGCTTCCATAAATTAAACAACAATTGCTGTTGGTTGAGGTGTTAATAATTTCAAATGCATCATCATTGTTTACAAGGTCATCATCATGAGCCATGCCAACTGGCGTAGGCGCTCATGCGTCTCTGCAGATAACGATCCCTGGTTGACTGGAGCAGCACTCTTGATGATATCCCTCCATTCCATCGTTTTAGTCTATCTAGCATCAACTCTCTTGATCTGCCCCTATCCCTCTTTCCACTGATCTTTCCAGTTGTCACGATGTTCCCCAATGTGTCTCTTCTCATTATGTGGCCAAAGAACAGTGTTTGTCTCTTTCTTATTTAGAAAGTGCCTAGTTTAAAATATGGCTCACAATGGCTGAGAGGTGATTTTTCTCCCCGACCAGTCACCTGATTCTTTGTTGTTGAGTTGTTGTTATTGTTAAAATAATTCTCTTTACTCATTGAAGACTGGGTCGGCCTGGGAGTTGAAGTGACTTGTCGCACATCTGTCACTTCCCTAACCCATGAGGAGTTGGACTGACTTGACGCATATCTGTCGCTTCCCTGACTGATGAGGAGTTGGACTGACTGGACACATATCTGTCACTTCCCTGACCCACAAGGAGTTGGACTGACTTGACGCACATCTGTCACTTCCCTGACCCATGAGGAGTTGGACTGACTAGACGCACATCTGTCACTTCTCTGACTGATGAGAAGTTGGACTGACTTGACGCATATCTGTCACTTCCCTGACTGATGAGGAGTTGGACTGACTTGACGCATATCTGTCACTTCCCTGACCCATGAGGAGTTGGACTGACTGGACGCACATCTGTCACTTCCCTGACTGATGAGAAGTTGGACTGACTTGACGCACATCTGTCACTTCCCTGACTGATGAGGAGTTGGACTGACTTGACGCACATCTGTCACTTCCCTGACTGATAAGGAGTTGGACTGACTTGACGCATATCTGTCACGTCCCTGACTGATAAGGAGTTGGACTGATTGACGCACATCTTTCACTTCCCTGACTGATAAGGAGTTGGACTGACTTGACGCACATCTGTCCCTTCCCTGACTGATGAGGAGTTGGACTGACTTGACGCAAATCTGTCACTTCCCTGACTGATGAGGAGTTGGACTGACTTGACGCATATCTGTCACTTCCCTGACTGATGAGGAGCTGAGGTGACTTCACGAACATATGTCGCTTCCCTGACTGATGAGGAGTTGGACTGACTTGACGCACATCTGTCACTTCCCTGACCCATAAGGAGTTGGACTGACTTGACGCACATCTGTCACTTCCCTGACCCATGAGGAGTTGGACTGACTTGACGCACATCTGTCACGTCCCTGACTGATGAGGAGTTGGACTGACTTGACGCACATCTGTCACTTCCCTGACTGATGAGGAGTTGGACTGACTTGACGCACATCTGTCACTTCCCTGACTGATGAGGAGTTGGACTGACTTGACGCACATCTGTCACTTCCCTGACTGATGAGGAGTTGGACTGACTTGACGCACATCTGTCACTTCCCTGACTGATGAGGAGTTGGACTGACTTGACGCACATCTGTCACTTCCCTGACTGATGAGGAGTTGGGCTGACTTGACGCACATCTGTCACTTCCCTGATTGATGAGGAGTGGGACTGACTTGACGCACATCTGTCACTTCCCTGACTGATGAGGAGTTGGACTGACTTGACGCACCTCTGTCACTTCCCTGGCCCATGAGGAGTTGCACTAAGCTAATGTGGGCTTGTCGTGAATGCTGTGACGTCAGGTCTCTAACCACATGTCTCCTGAATGCTGTGACGTCAATTCTCTATCCGTATGTCTCAATACAGATTGGAATTCAAAACCTTTGGGTTAGCGGTCAAGCCTTTAGCCACTGCGTCAATGCGCCCCCTCCTTTCGTCATGCACACCGCCATGAGGAACTTCTTTTGGAGGCGTGTTCTTATCACCCAGGCTCCAGCGCCTTTGCTTTTCTAATTATTCAGTTGTTAACACCTATTTGACCTGTGCTTGTATTCTCTAGAAAAAAGTTCCCTCGGCACCTCGTCGTCTTCCATCTCCCAGCCCCGGAGACCCAACAGAATCAAGCAACGACACAGATCAAACTTCCGGGGTAAGTAGCGATGTCTTATTCTTGCTGTTTGCACACGTCTAACTTCTGAAACGATCGGGAATGAATGTTTGCCCTTTATTCATTCTCTACCTCTTCTTTGCTCTCCACACATTAAGAACCATAACATCGGTTCTTTTCAACCAGTTTTCCTCGCGTTTTGAAGGTCGTAGGTTCGATCCTTTTCTTTTATTTCGTTCTGCTTAGAGGACTCCGAGATTTCGTAGAGAATTCTCGAGAAAGTCCAATAGTATAGATGTGTTCTGGTGTGAAGTGGACACCGAACAACACTAACCCTACCCTTCTCCCCCTTTTCGCCCCCCGCGCATATAATATTATACTTTCCCGAACATTTCCTACGTACGATATATCCCAGATGGAGTGAAATAAAAGAAGAGAACAATAGGTTTGTTCCGCAGCTGCGTCCTTTAGTTTAAGAATGCAAGTTTTGCGGAGATCCTAGGGGATAGTCACTGGAGCTACAGAGTTTGTGCAACGTTCTCGGCAGTCAGCTACCCGTTCTGCTGAGAGAGACTAACTATGGGTAATATGGACTAATTAAGTTAATCCTCTTAACATAAACCAGGCCATTCGTCCTTGAAACTTGATTCCGGGATTTGTTTCAGGATAAAATAAACCTCACCGTAGTAAATAAATATCCTAGTCATAATTAGAGAGACCGTGTCTTGCAGCCGATCATGAACCCTGACCGTGTCTTGCCGCCGATCATGATCCCTGTCATGTTTACGACACAGAACTCAAGTAAAGGATCCCTTTCTTCGCCTTCCGGTGTGTTAGGCATATAGGGCTAAACCTATATTTTACAGACGAATTGGAACTCGGCGATCACATCACTGCGGCCACCTTTACCTCCCAGACTGTACTTGGTACCCATTTAAGATTGGGTCGACCTGGGAGCCAGTGTGTCTTTAAAAAAAAAAGAAATACAATGGAATTGTAAAGAAACATGCTACAACTCCAGCAATAGTGAAACAACAGGAGGTGTGCTCGGATACAAGAAATCATTCAGCTAAGAGCATGACCAAGGCTTACACCAGGAGGAGCAGGGAATGACACCAGGAAACAGATATGGCAGACCAACCCAGTTTTAGCCAACAACAGTTGGCGCAAGAAACACAGCCACAGTTATAACCAAAAGCTTCTTTTTCGAAAGGATCTAGTTGAACAGGACGATTTTTGCTTTGTTTTCACACACACACACATTCACACACACACATTCACGCACGCACGTACGCACGCACGCGCCCGCACACACATATACGCACGCACGCAGGCAGGCACACACACACACACACACATACAAACACACACATACAAAGACAGACAGACAGGGAGGTAATGCAAATTTTTAACAAAATACCCACGAAACAAGAGTTAACTCCAATACGCTCAGAACACAGCATGCTGCAGACGCTGCCGTACCAGAAGAGCAGTGCCCGGTGTACCCGTCTGTCGCAGCTTCCCTTCTAGACCAGCTGCTCATTGCATTACATGTTGGCATCATATTTCCTTGTTGTACAATAAACAATCCAAACCGACAGATTTAGCTGACATGTTTTGACTTTGTCCTTGCATTTCACCAGAAACGTCTTCAAGAAAAACATTCCAAGAAAGAGAATTCTACAGGAGACTCCCGTGAGATTCTGACTGACTTTTTGGTAAGGAGCTTTTTTTCTCATCTGTCTCTCTGTGTCTCGTCCTCTCTCTTTCTCTTTCTTTTTCTCTTTCTATTTCTCTCTCTCATTCTTTCTACCTCTGTCTCTTTCTATCTGTCACTTTCTCTGTCTCTTTCTATTTTCTCACTTTCTCTGTCTTTCTCTCCCACTTTCTCTGTCTTTCTCTCCCACTTTCTCTGTCTTTCTCTCCCACTTTCTGCAAGTCTGACTAATTGTTCTATCACTGCATGTATGTGTATGTGAGTGCGCGAGCGCGCTTTCTGATCTTGATACCACTGATGTGAATATTGTGTGACCATGTTGGCTAGACATGAAATCTGAGCCATCAGTTACCAAACTAAGAAGCCGGAGTAATATTTTTGAGGAAAATATAAAGAATATCTTTGGCACACACACACACACACAGAACACACACACACACAGAACACACACACACACACAGAACACACACACACACACACATATAAACACACACATGAACACAAACACGCACACGCACACACACACGTACATGAACACACACACATAAACACTCACACACGCACACACACATGTACATGAACACACACACATAAACACTCACACACGCACACACACATGTACATGAACACACACACATAAACACTCACACACGCACACACACATGTACATGAACACACACACATAAACACTCACACACGCACACACACATGTACATGAACACACACACACATAAACACTCACGCACGCACACACACACGTACATGAACACACACACATAAACACTCACGCACGCACACACACATGTACATGAACACACACACATAAACACTCACACACGCACACACACATGTACATGAACACACACACATAAACACTCACACACGCACACACACATGTACATGAACACACACACATAAACACTCACGCACGCACACATTCCAGTCAGCGTTAGGAGGAGGAAATAAAACAGCAAATATGCTGGAAGTTTGGGCACAGACAGTTATAATTTTGTGCATGTCATGAGAAGACAGAAACAGAAACACTGAGTGATAACTGACGAACTTGGGAACAAAGCAGGGGGAGGAGGACACGGCGGCAACACCGACAGAATGCCACCAGCAATGTGAAAACCCTGTGCGACCAAACAAATCACGACCGCCACGCTGACCGACCGGGCATTTAATGATGATGATGAATGCATTATCCACTGTACACTTCTCTATCCTGTCTGTGGCGAGGAAAGGTCAATTTACTCCATCTTTAGGTCTAATGGGCACATAGGGCTAGACCTGAATTTTATTGACAAATTGGCACAAAGGGGGTGATGTCGTTATCATCATACCTACCGCCTTTACTTCCCAGCACTTGATCCGGTACAAATTTGAGACTGGATCAACCTGGGAGCAGAAGTCGTTTAAAAAAACCCTCAACCCACGACCTTAGGATCCACAGTCGATGGTCTGGCCACTACACCAGGGTGACTTCCTCTTTGATGAGTTGCCAGTAAAATAGTCACGATGTTGATGACTCACATGTGAACCAGTTCTCTCATGTTCTCAGGAGCTCATTAACAAGTTCTATCTATGACTCACATGTGAACCAGTTCTCTCATGTTCTCAGGAGCTCATTAACAAGTTCTATCTATGACTCACATGTGAACCAGTTCTCTCATGTTCTCAGGAGCTCATTAACAAGTTCTATCTATGACTCACATGTGAACCAGTTCTCTCATGTTCTCAGGAGCTCATTAACAAGTTCTATCAGAAATGGTCCAAATCTCGAATGCTAGAACATGAGACAGAACCCAGAACAGAGACACGCCCTAGCTCGACAGTAAGGAGTTGTGGTGTCTCCACATCTTTCTTGTGTTTTGTTCATCTCTTCGTTCAGTGTGTCTTTCTGTGTCTGTTTATACACTTCTGTTTATTCAGTATGCTTATATATTTATGTCTATACACTTCTATTTATAGATTTATGCTTATATATTTATGTCTATACACTTCTATTTATTCATTTATGCTTATATATTTATGTCTATACACTTCTGTTTATTCATTTATGCTTACATATTTATGTCTATACCCTTCTGTTTATTCATTTAAGCTTATATATGTGTGTCTATACATTTCTGTTTATACATTTCTGGTTTTTTAAGGTTTCTTATTAAACTATTTTAGCGTGTTAACAATTTTATTTTTCTGTTTGGAAATGTTTGCTTCTACGTGGTTTTGCATGATCATAAACTTTTAGTAAGCAGGTATTTTTATCTGTTTATGTATTTATCGTGTTTGTTGTATGTTATCGTTTATACCTGTTAACAGATTTATTATATTTATTTATAATATTTATTGTTGGTATGCATTGATAAAGATTTATACATTTCTTATTTGCAATAATTTTGTCCGTGTACACATTTCTCAATTGCTTGCAACTTTGTCAATTTATAATTCATGATTTGTTTGCACCCTTTACTGTTTGACCCCCAGGTTAACCCAGCCTCACATAGGTACAGGCATTGTCCTGGGAAGTAAAGGCGTTCGTCATGATGTTGGGTACATCACCCACCCAGTGGCGACTGGTCTATAGACAATAGGTATCGCCCTATTTACCCGATACAGCTGAAGGCTTGATAAACGGTTCTCCCTGTCCATTAATTGCTACCCGTTGAAACATTTCTTATATGCAGTTGTTTTGTCTGTTTACACATTTCTCAGCTGTAATAACTTTGTCAGTTTATAAAATAGTAGTAGCATTGTTTTATTTCAGTTGGCTCTTCTCGTTTTAAAATGTGTCCATTTGTTATGTCTACCATTTGTACCCTAAGTTCATCTGTGTGTTCCTTGTAACGACTCTGAAGTCTGACCACAGCAAATCAACAGTATGGGAGGTAATTCTTACGCAGTGTTTCTAAAGTTCAGCCGCGCTAATATTACCTAACGGTTGAACGGGATTTCTGAAACTTGTGCCCGGGTGATTCTCATCTGAATGGTTGCACTTTGTGTCACCGTGTGTTTATCGGTCGTTGTACTGTCCTGGTTGGGTTGAATCACTAGCAGAGAGCCTCTCCAATAAGCCACTTTAAGTAAACATTTCTCTTAAAAAAGCCACTTTAAGAAAAAATGTATCTCCAGTAAGCTACTTTCAGTAAAATGTCTATAAAAAAGCCACTTTCGGTAATAACTTATCTCAAATTAGCCACTTTCAGTAATGATTTTCTTTAAAAAAAAAAAAAAACCCACTTTCAGTAAAATGTCCAAGTTTAATTAGGATGATAGTCACGAAACGTATTGAACTGTAGATTCAGTGTCCAAGTTTAATTGGGATGATAGTCACGAGACGTACTGAACTGTAGATTCAGTGTTCAATCGTTTTTCCCCAAGATAAAAAAGGCCAAATTTATGCCAGGCTTAACTAAGTTCCCTTTTCACGCCTTTCGGCGCATCGGGCATTTGGGCACAGCGTCCCATATTTTTACAGACCATCAGCACTCTGTGGGTAATGTGGTCAGGATTACGCCGGCTGTCTTTACTTTCCCAGGACAGCCCATCCTGGTACCCATTTTAGGCTGGGTCGACCTGCGACGTCCCCATACCACGACAAAAATCCACGCAGCCTGCAGTGGGTTTCGATCGCGGTATGCTGGCTTACGAGTCGGACTCGCAACGAGGGTTAACTAACAATATTTATATTTCAGAAAATAGATGGCAGAGGCGCGGCATTTTCTTGGTCAAACTCCACGTGGGCCAGCTTGGGCAAGTTTGCAGGCAAGAAGTATTTCTACAACACTACCATAGCCCAGAATGTTACCATCACAGGGGGCGCTTTTGTTCTCAGGTAAGTGATCATTCATGGTGCCAGTGTTGTGTTCTAACAGTACCATTGCCGACCGCCCCGAAGGCCGTCGGTTCCAACCCGCATCGCGGTGAATGTTCTGATAAAGAAATTAGGAAAGTAAAGGAGGCCGGCGTGATGCTGACCACATCACTGATGTTTTGTTGAGTGGCCTAGACAATTTGTAAGAGCTGAGCACCATATGCTCGATACTCCAATGGCGCTTGAAAGACCCTTGACCTTTAACCTAATATTCCGTACAATATAGTAATGTCAATGGAAGTGAGACAGGGATGTCTAGAGAGTCGTATTGAACGAATCCTGGTGTACGGAAGGGAATCATGGACAGTCGAGAAAGTAGTCATTAGCAATTGTGTGGAGCCTGCAGCATATACATATGTATGAGATATTCTACTGACAAGACAGGAATGTGATATCTATCGCAGATACGTCGGTTAAGTGAATTTTATCTATTCTTGTTCGTTCCAAAAAACAAACAAAAAGGTAAGGTCCCGTTTCCATGCCTTTAGGCGTATAGGGCATATAGGGCCAGACCTGTATTTTTATAGACCCATCGGCACAAGATGGGTGATGTGGTCAGCATCACGCCGGCCGCATTTACCTTCCGGTACCCACTCAAGTCTGGGTCGAGACTTTGAAGTCAAGGTCATTTATGAAAAAAGTCCGACTCCGCCAGGGAGCGAAATCACGACCTTCCGATCCGCACGAGAGAGTCTAACCGCTACGCCACCGAGACTGCCTTCTTGTTCGTACTGGGGTTATTACAAATTAACCTAGCGGCAAACTGTCGTTTGGTCAGAAATATTGCGAAGCTGACTTTTTGTTTGGTCTGGTTTCATATTTTGTCAGCATTTAAGAATGGCTTGAACGCCATGAATATACAAGATATGATCAGGGTCATACATAAATTGTATAGCACAGTCATTCCCACAGACAACCTGCTATGTTAAATCAAAAAAGGAAAATGACTTTTTCCATGCCTGTAGGCATATTGGGCATATAGGGCTAGACCTATATTTTATAAGCCAAACGGCACATGGTGGGTGATGTGATCAACATAACATCGGCGGCTTTTACTACCCAGGACCGAGCCTGGTACCCACTCAAGGCTGGATCGACCTGGGAGTCAAGGTCATTTTTGAAAAATATTCGGCTCCGCCAGGGCTCGATCCCACGACCTTCTGATACGCACGTGAGCGTCTGGCCTCTACACCACAGCGTCCTCCTTGAGTATACGTGTGTACATATGTATGTGTGGATGTAAACACACATACATGCATTCCCAGGTGGGCGTGTAGACATGTATGCTATACATCTAATATGTAATTGTACATGTATGTATGTATGTATGTATGTATGTATGTATGTATGTATGTATGTATGTATGTATGTATGTATGTATGTATGTATGTATGTATGTATGTATGTATGTATGTATGTATGTATGTATGTATGTATGTATGTATGTATGTATGTATGTATGTATGTATGTATGTATGTATGTATGTATGTATGTATGTATGTATGTATGTATGTATGTATGTATGTATGTATGTATGTATGTATGTATGTATGTATGTATGTATGTATGTATGTATGTATGTATGTATGTATGTAGTATGTATGTATGTATGTATGTATGTATGTATGTATGTATGTATGTATGTATGTGTATGTATGTATGTATGTATGTATGTATGTATGTATGTATGTATGTATGTATGTATGTATGTATGTATGTATGTATGTATGTATGTATGTATGTATGTATGTATGTATGTATGTATGTATGTATGTATGTATGTATGTATGTATGTATGTATGTATGTATGTATGTATGTATGTATGTATGTATGTATGTATGTATGTATGTATGTATGTATGTATGTATGTATGTATGTATGTATGTATGTATGTATGTATGTATGTATGTATGTATGTATGTATGTATGTATGTATGTATGTATGTATGTATGTATGTATGTATGTATGTATGTATGTATGTATGTATGTATGTATGTATGTATGTATGTATGTATGTATGTATGTATGTATGTATGTATGTATGTATGTATGTATGTATGTATGTATGTATGTATGTATGTATGTATGTATGTATGTATGTATGTATGTATGTATGTATGTATGTATGTATGTATGTATGTATGTATGTATGTATGTATGTATGTATGTATGTATGTATGTATATCAGCGTGTGTGTGTTTGTGGGTGTGTATAGTGCATACCAGCCCCTTCCAAACAAACCTCATCAGGTACTAGAGTATCCCTCCAAACCACTAGTTTTGGTGCAATTAACATTTCCTAACCAACATATTTGGCACACAGAAACCAGACCACAATTATAACCGATACTAATTGCTTTAGGTTTAACATGGTCGATTCTTTTAACATAAAAGGGTGGATGCATATGCATGTAAACAATACTGGATCTAATGAGTCGAAAAATAAACTTCAGCATTGTGTGAACATATGAATGATCACTGGTTTATTTCGTCACAGTGGCCGCAATATTGTCGTGGTGAGAAACAACATCCGCTCCCTGCAGAAAAGGAATGGCATCCAGTGTACTAGCGTTTACGACTTCACAAACACCACTGCTGTAAGTACAACACCGAAACGTTTGGTCAAAATTGTAGTTTGTACAGAACACTGTAGGTTCTCCTCCCCCCCCCCCCCCCCCCCCCCCCCCCCCCCCCCCCAATCTTGACCTTCTCACCAATACCACCATCATTACTATTATCGTCATCAGCTAAGCATCCAAGAAAAAGAAGAAAAAAATGAGGAAGAAGAAAAAGAAGGAGGAGGAGGAAAAGTAATATTTGTAGTCGTGCCTATTTCCACATGCGCTCCGTCCCCATCTTCAGGAGCCAGCACAAAGTCAGAGTGTTATTGGTACATTTAGTACAAGGACTGTGTGTCTATTTTGCCTTTCCTAAGAATGTTAAGTGCCGGTCAGATAT